TTTCTTGTGGTATTATTCTGTTACTATTGTATATTGATGACATGATTATCATAGGCAGTGATAATATAAGGTTCTAGGAGCTTAAGACATATTTGGGCTAATAATTTAAAATGAAAGATCTTGAAAGGCTGACCTATTTTCTTAGGCTTGAGGTCCACAATGGGAGAGATGGTGCTTCTCTTTCTTAGGTCAAGTATGCTACTAATTTGATATCCTAAGCTCACCTTTCTGACGATACTCCTATTGAGCCAAATGCTTACTATACTTCCACTAATGGCACCTTATTAGATAATCTCACTTGCTATTGCTAGCTAATTAAGGGCCTTATCTATCTTACCACGACCCATCTTGACATTGCTTATACGATCCACATTGTTAGACAGTTTGTGTCAGAGCTTCAAACTACTCATTATACATCAGTTCTTTAAATCATTTGGTACATCAAAGGTGAAACATCTTAAATTTTAATCCTTAAATTACTTAGGAATTAATCAAGTTTAAATGCTAATTGAGTGATTTGATGTGATGTGTGGCCAGAGAGATTTAGTAAATGTAATCAGTTGTGATTTCAACCCTAATAATGGGTTCTACTAAAAAAGGAAGAAGAGGAAAATGAAAGAGCTTGATAAAGCTCTACTAAGGTTTGCCACATGGGTAGTTTTGAAGCATTTTGGAGTTAGTAACTACTTGAGGTAAGTTCGTCAAGCCCTAATACCTTTCTCTTCCATTTTCTTGAAGTTTTTGGTTATGGTTTAACAATGGGAGATGATTTTTAGTCTATGTAGGTTATTGGTCTGAACCTATTGACTCAAATGGAGCTAATGAGAGTTGTTTAGAGTATTTAAACTTGGAGATTATGGATTTTGACATTTTTGGTTGGTAAGATTAACTGATGTTTGAAAATGAATATTTAATTTGAATTTATAAAATTGGTTGAGGAATTAATGGTAATGTGGGAACTTAAGAAAGTCATACAATGCTAAACAACATTAATAGAACCTAAAGAGTAAGCCCAAAGATGAGAAATAAGGGTATTAGGTATATTTAAAGTGAAGAATGTGAAAGAGAAAATGTGTTTTTGATAATATTGATGAGTTTAGATTTGATTAATTGTAGATTAACCATTCAAGCACTATTTTGGCTTGGGAAATCAAGCTTGAAAGCTAATTATTGAGGGATAAATCTTTGACCTCTTAAAGATTTGAGGTAACCAGGGTTGACATGTATGATTTCATTGCAAATGTGAAGTATGTCATGAGCCTTGATGGTTAGTTGAATTGTGAACATGTAATGTTTTATTCAAACTTGAATGTACAATTGATGGTAAAGTGATTTTAAAAACTATGAATATGTATATATTTTGGGATGAGAAGTATAATATTATGTGATGTGATGATTGTTTTATCGATGAAGAAATTGATGATTCAGTAAAGTGAAGAAAGGTTGTGGAAACATAATGGATGTTCACTTGGGTAGCGTATTATCGTGAGCCCAATGTGCTAATAACGAATAAATGAAATTGTGAAATGAGTAACCATCGTGTGTGATGTGATCAGTTGACGGGAGTTCACATATAGAGAGAGGAGTAGTTCAAAATTCATATGGTATTTTTGGCTGCCTTCCAGTATACGAGGGTATAGCCTTGTCCCATAGTTTGTTGAGGAACTAGAACTTAGCTATCTCCACCAGTTTATTGAAGAGGTTAGCTTAGAGTATATAACACCCCAGAGATTTAAGAGTAGGGGAAGCTGTGGTCTAAGAGTGAGTCCTATAATCTTTGGTTAGGTCACACCTCACAATTGGTAAGTTTAGGTTGTTCAGTCACATAGATGAAGCCTTATTTGATGTAATAGCCCACAATTTCAGTCAAAGGAGATAAGAAAGGTATAGGGATAGTTTGATCATACATATGTGTTTATATAACATGTTACGTGGTTGTTTAAGTTTATGGCAAGTTGTATTAATACATTGGTCATTGTCACACATCTGTATATCTTATGGCAATATACCGTGTGATTGAGATGAGAATTATGAGAATGAGTTAAATTGAAAAATAATAATGTGTTATATGTGTTAGTGTATATTTTGAGAAAATCAACTCCAATTTTATGTGTTTAATCAATTGATATGCAACTGTATAGGATATGTAATATCCTCCTCCTTTTATTTCACTATTAAAACCCAAATCTTAAGAAATTAGGAAAATGAGATGATAAAAATCATTGAATACAAAATTCTTATTAGCTACCAAAATGGGGACCCCAAGATTTTAAATCTAAGTCAAATCAAGTCTTGTAAAAAGATAAAACAGAGTTACAAATATGCAGAAGTAAAGGATTATCACATAAATGGTTACATAGGTGTAAAAATCTGGAACAAGAAAAATTTTGAAAATTTAAAAGGCATGCGTTGCGACTTGTTGAACATGCACTGCGGCGTGTTTGCCTCTGTGAAACGCGCTGCGGCTTATGACGCCATGCACCGTGACGCAAATGCACAATTTTTGACTATGAGTTCTGCTGTCAATTTGATAGCTTTAGGGCCAACTTCTGACATGCCCTAAATCTCCATCTGATGTCTGAATGACATGAATTAGGAGTTTACAAAAAACTCTTTTCGAACTTTAACTATTGGCATTAGTCCTTGGCTCAAATAATTTTTACAACAAGAATTGGACACCCTTTTCAAAACTTACTCCTTTACCTCAACTTTCGCAATTTCAAGTGTCCTAGTCCAAAATTCAAGACCAATGGCCACCAACACCAAACAACCACATACAACTCAACAAAATTAACTCGTGTAAAGCACCAAAACACAAGAAATATTTTCAGACTAAATTTTCACTACTCAACCTCTTAACTCAAAATCATACGAAGGGGGAGTTTACCACAATTTTCATTAAGATTTCCCACATCATCACATAATATGCACTACCCTCACTTGAATTAGTATTTTAGCCCTATCAACATAACACATAACAATAACTCTCTTTCCTTAGGGCCTAAAATACCATTACAATTTACTTTCATTTAATACAAGTAAGTAATAAGAAGGGAAAACCTAGTTGGCAATCGAAATTGTCATATACATAAATTACCCAAAAGTAAGGAGGCCTATTACAGAAGACATGTGGTCCTAAGCCTCAGGTTGTTTTCCTCTGTCTCCACTTCTTGAGCTATTTTCTATAGCATTGAAGATAACGAGGTGAGTATAACTACTCAGTAACCATGGTCCAACTAGCCTATACTAATACATAACAATTGATTTAAATATAAGTGGCAGAAAGTATTATTACTTTAACCCATGAGTAACATTTAAAATAAGAATTCACAACTTAGCTAACATAATTGCATTCGCTTGGAAAGACAATGCCTTTAGCATTTTTTATATAAATAGAATTGCTCATACAAGTCACTGATAAGCCTAATGGCAAAAATTATTACCTAATTAAACATATCCACATTATGGACTCAATATAGACAACAAATATCTTTTCTTACTATATGCATGATCATACCTCCCTTATATCCTCTTTATTCCTTTTGACATGAAACTGTGGCTATAACTCAATGGACAGTTTATATTTCTTGACTTCCCTAGCTTAAACACTTGTAAGGGGACCCAGCCAAGGTGTACCCAACTCACTTATGGATCACGATTTTTTCCCATTTCTCACACCATGGAGTGTCATACACCCTAGACTAGCTTCCTCATTAAATTGATAGATAACTAGCTAGGTTCAAGTTCCTCATTGAACTAATGGGACAGTCTCTCATTGAACAAGTGGGACGATATGGATAAAATTAACCTAGGCAATCAATCATACCGATGGGGCCTTACTATGTGGATTTCTCATCTACTCCACTCCCTAGGCGAACTCCCGCCTCGCCTCTCAAGGTCATACAATGGACATTTATGCCATAACTCATACATATACAATTCATAGAACTTCATGTTATCATTTTTCGTTGAACTTCATCCTTACACAATCATTGAACTTCTCAAACAAAATTTCATGAAACTTCAAAACCAAATAAGTCATGGAACTCCCAATTCACAATCATTATACCTCACACTTCTAAATTCAAGGCAATATTGTATTTTTATTTTTTGGTGTATACAATGTATTTTTTAAATTAATAATATATATGATATTTTTTAATTTTATAATTTATCTCTCTCATCTTCGATAACTTTTAGTTATTTTTTAAGAGATATTATATTAATCGTGAAAACTAGGATGGGTGAGAGATTGAGAGTGCGATTTAATTTAGCATAACTTGTTCTAAAATTAAAATCTTAATTTTTGATAAGTAGATACATCACGTCAACATTGGTTTGATTAATTGAAAAATATATTACTTAAAAATGCCACCAAATCTTCATTAAAAAAAAAATGTCACCAAATCACCTTCCATTAAAATCCTTCTTCTCTAACCAAACAGGGGGTTAGGAGAAAAAGTTATACTGATCAATGAATAAAGCTTGATAATTTTTCATTTTACACTGAAATTGACAACTAGTTTAGTATTAATTATGATTAATTCACACAAGACATAAAATTATCTATAAAAATTTTGTTGTAGATGATTTGTAAATATTTTTTTAGGAAAAATGATAGAAAGGCCCAAAAAAAATCAATTAATTCAACTAATGCCTCAAGCATCAATCTTCAAAAATTTATAGGTTTGACTTTTAATTTTGTAACTTTATTGTGATGAATTTGTAACTTATATTTTAAATTTTAACATGATTAAAAATTAATAATTTTTTTTAAATTTAAAATATATGTTATAAATTTATCATCATAGAATAGTAAATTTGAGAATCAAATTTATAAATGCAAGAAGTTTGTTATTCTCCCTGTTTTTTAAACATTTTTTTAAAATAAAATTTAAAGGCATGTTCAGATCGTACGTGAATTTCTATCCATTAAAAAAAAAAAAAAAAGCCAGACACCTTAAGTCAAATCACATGGACCGGGTCCAAAACTCCGAATTTTGAGGGTATCTCTGATCTCTCGCCTGCCTGCGAATTTAGCTTGACCCTGAAGCTCAAACTACTCCTAGAGACCCACTTCCCTTCTCACTCTTTGCGATTGATCCATTATTCTGCTAAAAACTATGTTAAGGACTGTTTTGAGGTCGGCTTCTCCTCCTCCTTGTTCCTTCAGTCGTTTGTTTTATCCTTTTTTTTCCCTTAATAATCTTTATATCCTTCTTCTTTGTTATAAGAGAGATTTTCGAAGAATGGTTTTTTTTAGTTGTTCTTTGTCTTTTCTTCATCTACGGCGAGTCCCCTTTTAATTTTGTAAACGAAATCAGCTTTCTGTTGCTGGGAGGAAATAAAAAGCTTCAAGATTGTCTTGACTTTCTGCTTTTTTGAACAGTTATATTGAAATGACCAACTTTTTACTTTTATAGTCCTTCTTGATCCTGTGATTTCTCCTCTCAACTTTGACCAGTTCTGAGTTCGTAATATCTAGCTTTCTGTGTGTTTTGGTGATTCTTGAAAACAGTAAAAAGGTCTCTGATTCGAGGGCTTTGCTTGCTGAGAGCTTCAATAGGTTCTTGTCTACACTGCCTAGAAGGTGTGGCAAAGTATCCTACTATCCTTCACCTTCTTCGGTTTACGGTTCTTTAATCTTCTTTACATGGTGTCAATTAATTATACATATAACCCGGGAACCATTGAAACGCATATCGTCAGAAACAGAAATATTTACCCAATATGCCCCCACATTGGCATTTTCCGATGCTCTTTTTGCCGCAGAGACAGTGATAACTCTCACCTAAACTTTAATAATATGTTGATGAACCTCTGAGCTATGCAAACAGCAATTGCTGAGCATTTGATATGATATGATGGTTTAGGAAGCTAGAAGACAAGGTAGCACTGATCACTGGAGCAGCAAGCGGTATAGGAAAGGCCACGGCAACAAACTTCATCAACCATGGTGCAAAAGTCATAATTGCTGATATCCAACAGCAACTTGGCCAAGAGACAGCAAAAGAGCTAGGCGAAAATGCTACCTTCATAACCTGCGATGTCACTAAAGAATCAGATGTATCCAATGCTGTTGATTTCGCCATTTCTGAACACAACCAACTTGACATCATGTACGCCAATGCAGGGATAGCCTGCAGAACTCCTCCAAGCATTGTGGACCTAGACCTGACATCATTTGACAAGGTCATGGACATCAACGTTCGAGGGGTCATGGCAGGGATGAAGCATGCAGCACGTGTGATGATCCCACGCGGTTGTGGGTCCATTCTGTGCACAGCAAGTGTCACTGGGGTGATGGGTGGGATGGCACAGCACACTTACTCAGTGTCCAAGGCTGCTGTGATAGGCATTGTGAAGTCTGTGGCATCAGAGCTGTGCAGGTATGGAATCCGTGTGAATTGCTTATCGCCTTTTGCTATTCCTACTCCTTTTTGCATAGGAGAGTTGAGTCAGATATATCCAAATTATGATGCCCAGCAACTTATCCAGCTTGTTCATAGTTTTGGTGTCTTGGAGGGAAAAAATTGTGAGCCCGAGGATATTGCCAATGCTGCACTTTATCTAGCTTCTGATGATGCCAAGTATGTTAGTGGGCATAATTTGGTTGTGGATGGAGGTTTTACATCTTTTAAGAGCTTTGTGTTACCTGCTCCAGATCAAGTGCAGTGAAAAGTCTGCATTGCTTATATATCCAGAAGAATGAATAAACATAAAATAATGAGCAACCCTTTCATCTGGACGAGTAATAAATTCCTTTTGAAATTCATTCAAACATGGCACTTGGGGCCTTCCTAGACTGAAAATGAGAGGGTCCTAGCTCTGATTGTGGATAAAAATGGCTGCAAAATCAGGATTGAAAGTGGTTGGTAAATGGTAATGGAGCATATATTCTGATGAAAGAAAAAGAACAAGAGCCATTGTCTTCATAAAGCAGGAGAATCGTTGAAATTACGGGCAATGGTCACTCCCGATGGAGGGATTCCTATGCTAATGTCAAATTAAGTTGCCCTCTGATTTACACGGGAATTTTATTAGTGTCCAACAGGCATGTTGTCATCTCTAGCTCTTTGTTTATCTCAGAGGCACATGCTTGCTTTACTTCTATTATTTGTTTAATGCGCGGCTGTGCGTAATATGACTTTGTGTTGCCAAGTGCTAACTTTAGACACTACTGTATACTATCTTTTTCTTCATGTTCACTCCCAATGGAGGGATTCCTGTGCTGATGTCAAAATCTTCACTGGAATAACATTAATAGAGTCGAATTGCCAAGTCTACTCATTTGCCTCACTTTGTATGTAATTATAGAAATTATAGACACTCAATTTTTTTTCCCGCTTTGCAAATCGATATATTGATGGATAATATGAGATAATATAAAAATCTACAACAAGTTGTATAAGTTGTACATAATACAAAGTATGTAATGCATGTGACAATTTGTTTAGTTATTATCTATTGCTTGTAAAAGCAAAATCAAGATTTGCTAATAGACTACAAGCATATAACAATCTCTAATAAATCTACAAAATCAATTATCTAGCTGAACATGTGCGCTGCAAAACAGGTTTGAGTTTTTTCAAGTGAAATGATCTTTGTTCTATTTAGGTGGAGGCAAAGCAGACGTGCATTATGTGCATTTGTACAAGCCAAACCATTAAAACTTAGAAATTCGACCCTGCAAATCAATCACCAGTGCAATTTTCCATAAGTTGAATGACGATAAACTAGACAATGTAAAATAGTTAATGTTGTTGTCAACAACGTCTGCTCAGGCGACACTATCTCGTCTCATAAACCCCAAATTTGTCTGGAAAATAAAGGAACCTATAAAGAACATGCTTGCACTAGAAAAACATCACAAGACTATATTAATGCGATCCATTTAGTTCCATAAACAACCATACAGCTGCATTGTGCTGCATGACTCGTTAATATCTTTGTTTGCTCAGGGATTACTGGGTTGTTGAGTCTGCTGTGCTAGCAAAAGCACTCCGGTTGTTGGTGGCCTCCTTTGGACAAATGATTATCATCTTTTGCACCATGGACTGGAAATCCCTGCACAGGTTATAATCGAAGAATTCAAACCAGTAATTAGTAAGATGATCAACTGACCCAATGTATTTCTTCTAAATTGGTCGATTGCAAATGCATTGATTATTGGATTAGTTGCAATACATACATTAAGTTTTACTTACTGACTTTAGGGCAAAATATAGACCTGTTTTCATACTACTAGTGATCTCACACTTAACTGCCACGGGAAATCTCCAAACAGCATCATATCCCCGTCATCATCCATGGGGACAACATGCCATCCGCTGCTTCCATTTATTAAGCTTCCTTGGAAATCAAACATCACGTCCAGTTCAGAAATGAGTTCATCGTATCCAGTGATACGCGAGAGGTCAATTGATCTACCTAGTGCATTTCCACGCTTAAGCACCTGAAATAGAATGGTTACCATTGTTGCAGATTATATAGCATACGCATACCTTAAAAAAATGTTTCACCTACAAGCTACCTTATGTCATAAGCACACTACTATAAATCAAGTGATCTTAACACAGCAATATGAAACATTCAACAGGATTACGCGAATGCTAATCAATTTATAGTTACTCAGAAAAGCAAATTACCTTTGTGCAAGTCCGGCTATTAACAGAGCAACATTTCTTGCATTTTTTCTGCGACGCAACACCTGAAATAGCGTTTGATGGTTTGGAAACCGGGATAGTCGCAGAAACGCTTGACTGAGACATTGGAGGAACATGAAGGGTTGAAGTACTGCTAGAAGCAGCAACTTGTGGTGAAGGGAGCTCCGAGTGGTTTAAGCTTATCCCGAAAAGCTTGTATTCAGTTTTATTATCATTATCATCCCTCGATTCAGAAGCCCGCCATCCCTGGGATTCAGAATCATTGGAATTCACATTTGAGAGTGAAAGGTACCTGGTGACAGAGATATTATTGCATTCTTCATTGGTGGTCGGGATTAGGGGCTGTTTGGGGGGGCTTGAAGTTGAAATGTCATCATCCGGAAATGATGCTGAACAATGGCAAACAGGGATTTGCAGTTCAAAGTGCAGTTGATTCTTCGTCTTGAACTGTGAGTCATATTGTTGGAAGCCTGCATCTTTGTAATCTTGACCTTGTAAGTCCCTCTCACATATGTGAGATGCATAGTTGGCTGAGTTCAAATCGATGTCTGATTGTGACAGCCAAAAAGAAGAAGACAAGAAAAGTTAATGTTTACAGAAGAAAAATGTTAGAAAATTTAACAGATCACAGAATACAACAACAAAAACAACAATCCTTATTCTACTAGGTAAGACTGGTTACATAGATTGTATGACTTCATTGTGCTCTATCATCAACCAAACTTTTAAGAATATTATTACCAGAATACTACATTGTAAAAAAAAAAAAAAAGATAAATTATGATATAATGTGTAGTTACGCAGAACCCAATAATAGATGGATAGCAACTGACCATCCTTGGTAAGATCACATAATCCAGACATTGATGGGTCAAGTAAACGTGGCCTCTTTGGTGGGGGTAGATTAGGAATGCTCTTCCCGGAAGATTCTAAGGGCTTAATGTTCCAAGGAGAAACCCTTTCAGGACGCATATCTATATCAAGCTTGGCATCCCATTTCACCTAAGAAGAAACAAAGTGCATCTTGAAGAGCGTCTAGTTACAAGGAATTGGAAGTGAAAAATTGGAATGGACCTCTTACCTTGAGACATCTCCATTCTGAACCAGGCCACTTCTTGCCATCGATATCGTCAATACCTATTATGGTTCCTGCATATCTGGTTATTCAAACAAACAAAAAAATTTCCAATGATCACTTATATAAGCATTTATTACACAGAAGGTAACATTTATAAATTGTTCATCAGGTTCCTTCATAATCACCTCCTTGTAGATTCTTCGGCTTCAAACTGCATTTGTATCCTCAGTCCACATGAATATTTCATTTTAGCTGACTTCATGTAGTGATCCAGTGGAACAATGAATTCAGAGGGACAAGTCCTGCAAAGTACGCGTCCTTCGACATAAATTTGGAAAACCATGCTCCCAGAAGAACAAGGCTAAACACGAAATGCAAAAGAAGAATATGCTTAGCCTCTGAAATTAACATGTGAAAAATCTTAAAGGACTTACCAGGGACGGTAGTAGACAGTAAACATGGATCCCGTAGCAACAGCATAAGAAGCAGTGGCCAATATCCCGAGTTGCATGCTATGGCCAGATATCACGCATGTGGATGAGGATGTTTTGTTGTGTTGTTTAAGTGCTCGGCGGATCCCAATACCAAGTTCTCCTTTTTCTCCGCTGCAATCATATGGGTACCGCCCTTGTTACTTGCCCTTTCGTTAAGTATCATTATCGTGTTTCGCTTAAAAATAACAGTCCGGCTTCTTTATATTTCTTACCGAAATCCGTATTCTCTACGATGCAATTAGCATTCGGAGCCCTCTTTGTGAAAGTTAAAACCAATACTATCTGTTATTGACTGCCTTTTATCACGCTATCGCATTTTAAAAATCTTAAATTGGGTTATTTTTAAACGTTTGATTAAGAACAAAAGTATTATCTGGTCTCGAGTCTTAACTAATATGCTCTAGGAAGAATATAAAAGAAAAAAAGATAACCAAAGAAAAATGCATGTATCGCCGGGTTCAAGCTTTTTTGAATGGAGGAATGAACTCCAGCCACCCGTAAGCAGGTGTCGTTTTGGCTGACCTGCAATCAGTTTTATAAATATCAAGCTCCAAAATAAAGATAAGCGTAAGAGCATCTGAAAGCATTTTTTCAGAAGAGAGAGAAAAAGTGGTCTCCGATAACATATTAGCATTTCATCACTGATACATAGAAACGGAAATTTCTGAAGAAGCCATCAACTAGTTAGGCAAACAGACTGCTTCCTGTTATTCTTATTTCTTCATTTGAACCGGCACTAAGCATTGTATCAGATGCACCAACCATTCTACCATATTAATGCTCATTGAATTATTAGCTTAAAGTTATTAAAATTATCAGATTTTTAATAGTCTAGTCTCTAGCCCAGTTCCTAGAATAGGCTCGTCAGGCTGTTAAGTTTCTAATTTCAACAATTTTACAACATCCAAAGCTATCACGTCTTGTTTAATCTCTGCCATCAATGTGAAATAAGAATAGATGGAAAGGGCCTGCTTGTTTGATATGTGAATAATAAGGTATAATTTGACAAATTTTGTATACAAAAGGGATCAACGTTAAAGGGCTATCAAAAGAAGTCAAGGCATGGCAAATAGCTTAGAGACGGCTAAGACGCGCGCCCCTCTATATAGTCAAAAATTGATGTGAAGCTATAATGATTCTGCGACTAAACAAAAGAGTTACACCTGATTTAACTATGGTTATGACTAAATTTTTCCAACCAGATCAGGAAAGTTTGGCATGAGAACTTACCACGATAGGTATGGCGAAAATTCCATATAACACCATGCAAGTCCTTCGCAACTAGCTCCTGTCCTGGTGGTTGCTGAGACATATCCTGCGATATTGAAGACATGAAGTAAGCTGAATTCCTCAAAACGAAGGAGACAAGCTTGACGGAAATTGGTATAGGAACACAAAGCAAGAAACGTAATGGTCAATGTGTAACCTAGCGTGTCAACAAGCTACGTACAGTGGCAAGCCAATATCAATAAGAACCATTTAGAGTTTTACAAAAATGAACGTCATTCTTTGGCAGAAAAGTTTTATATCCTTGGTGAAAATGAAAATTTCAACATGCAGGTCAAAAAGCCAAAAACAGGAAAAAGAGTTCATTCAACCAGTTGGATAAGAACTGGAAAAGAAGTAATTCTGTCAGACTAATATAAGGTAAAGGATAATATCTCAAACCAGCAGTGGAAAGCATTCCTCGGCAAGTTTCTTGGGAATGGAGAATCCACCATGGGCACCTGTATCTGACAGGGTGAGAGTCTTACTAAAGCACCTGGAAGTACTTCTGTGTTTTAGCCGAGACTCTTTATCGTCTGAACTAACTTCATCCAGCTGCAAGTTAATTATGAAGATAAAAATCAATTTGCATTCATCATTTATGCAGGCGGTTAACATAGGATAAACATCACATTATATTGCATTCTTCAATGCCAAAATTTGCAGCACGTTTATTTAAATCTCATCCAAAGGACAAACTGTCAAAAAAGAAATCACACCACTCAAGTCGGTGGAAAAACGGGCAGAGAAAAGAACAAAGACAGCTGCCAACCTTTGACTCAGGAATTAGAGTTATTTGAGCGAAAACCTCGTCTGTGTTGGCTTCCGCCTGGAGAAACAAACAATACTATATTTGTTCAATATATTATTAGGTAAATAATAAGTTAAGAACACAATAGCACAGAAACAATATCATATGTACCTTTAGCTGAACACCCATCACCCTGCAAAGGATTTTAGAAGGCAAATCACAAGCAGGAAGTTCCATGTGACCATCCTGTCGTGTAAAGTCAGCAACCTGTTCCAGATTTCAATATGAAAATACAGACTTCACTATTTCAGAGATAAACAAACAAGCAATATATTCAACAGGAGGAACGTCGGACGTTCTACAAAAAATTATCCCAAACATTATTCATCGCTAAATTTTTATACAGAAATCCGCATAATTCCGTGTCAAGCAAAAAGGATATTTCACGAGATACGATTGTAAAAATCGCAGTCACTGTTCCATTAAATGAAGAAACATGAAGGCAAGATGCGGCCTTGTCATTGTTTCCATTAATGTCATCAATTAATTCTTATAATGAATTCAGTCCAAGATGCGGCCTTGTCATTGTTCCCATAAGTCCAATATATGACAACCTTAGTTTCTCCCGGAAGAAATTTCTTTGTCAACTGATCGAAAATCACCTCACAGAATTTACAAAATAGGATTAAGATAACCAAGCAGAAAATGGCAGATTCGAGAGGGTGACAAGGGACGAAAGCAGAAAAATGTCAAAGGAGGGAACCTGTTCCAAGTGGCCTTGAGGAAAGTAGAAGACCAAGTCCCCCGTGCATGGAACAATGACAGAAGCGCCGGCGCATGCTTGCCATAGTGAATCATTCAAAACATTTTTCTCACCTAAAATTATAACAAATTGAAGAATTAATTAATAGATGAACCGATCATTTCTGGGATGGGAGTCCTGAGAATATCAAGGGTTGATTAAAACCCGTTAAATGATAAAGCGAATACAAGACCTCTGAATGACACTCAATTGTCGTAACGCAAGAAACGAGAGAAGCACTGGACTTCACATATATTTCTAGACATTATCAAAACTTCAAAGACAATCCGTTCATCCAACGTATACGCCGATTGAGGAGCAGATTTCTTCCTTAGTTTACCCACCCACAAAATTGTGTGTGTGTGTGTGAGTGAGTGAGAGAGAGAGAGAGAGAGAGAACAAAGTCCAAACTCTCATATTGGTTATCGTTACCTTCAAGGAAGAAGCCGCCATAGTTAAATGTCGGAGCTCCGTCACCATTTTTTCGAGAGTTATCGGCTGGAGACCCTTTGTTCGCAGAAGCTACACCGTTCATCCTCCTCTGATGCCTCATGGGAGGGAAATGCGGGGCAATGAAGAGATAGTTAAAGATCCAGAAATTAAGAACAGAAAGTTGGAAAGCGACAAAATAGAGTAATGAGAGGCATCTCGGGTATCCAGCACAATCCAAACGTTTCAGTTCATAGCATTCAAGCTTTTCACACTTACGCACCCGGTTTCAGATTCCTCCCCCTCTCTCCCCACAGCAAGCCTCACCACCATTACCACGCCAGCCGGGGGGCCCCCTTCTCCCTCTCTTCGTATGGCGTGATGCTGTTACTGTCGCAGTAACGCCTGTAACCCTGTACGTGTGCAATAGAGTACGTTATAGCCAGGCAAGAGCTACAGAGAGAGTGAGAGAGAGGGGGTGGTGTGGATTTAGGCTTGTTAGTACTCCTGGTGCAGAGTGCTTTGCTTTATTTTCTTGTGCTGAATGAGTCGCTGCGCAGCTTCTCAGATGTCTGCAGTAACCGTACCCTTTTCATGCCTGCTAAAGCCACCACAATAGTTTCTCTTTCTCTCTCTTAGTCTTGAATGATGCTGGCGATGTTTGCTAATTTGCGCCGATACGATCGAAGCGCCATTGTCGCCTGCATGCTCATGCATCGACGATGCTTCTCTCTCTCTCTCTCTCTGTGTCTCCGCCACTTCGTCTGATTCTGCTTCACTTAATGCACAGTCTATGTTCGTTAATTAGACAATCGTCACTTCTAAGGCCTCGGGGGTTTCTTCAATGGCCGTCGTTGATTCCAATGTATTAGTGCCCGACTTTGATGTTTACCACATTAATTATTAATTAATAATCAATAGGACTTATCACCAAAAACAAATACTTTAATTAATTGGACTAACAGATATTTGAGGTTTGAATGGGATGAGTGATTTAAATTCATTTATCTACGTCATGTCTTAATTATTATTATTATTGTTATTGAATTTTATTAATATTTAAAAGTTGTTAAAATATACTCCCTCCGGTCCTATTTATAAGTTATTTCTACCAACCTCATCAATACCAATACAATAAAAGTACAAGGAATAAAAGTAAGTAAAATTCCAAACATGCCCCTATATAACAAATTTAAAAAATAATGTCCTGTTACTTTTTCTCTCTCATGAAGGGTAATTTTGGAAATACCTCTCAAATATTACCTAAAAAGACGCACCATGACTTATAAATAAGACCAAATACACCTTCTAAAATTGGACTTATAAATGGGACCGGAGGGAGTATTTTGTTAAACAAATTAAAAATATTTTTTATGATCAAAGTAAGAATTTGTAAGTAAAATTTGTTAATTTACAAATTTTTTTCTACAATTACTTCCAGTAATTTATATTCTCATGTTCTTGTTTGTAATCCTCAAACCACGAATTTACAACTAATATTCATTAATTTATGAAAGAAAATAATTAAAAAATAATATATTTAATATAAATTAACAAATCTCACTTGTAAATTTTCATATTCACCATTTGCAACTTGCAAATCATGATGGTTTGAGAATATCAAATTTTCAAACCAAATAGTTCAATGACCTTTAATTTTTGTTTTGAATTTTTAAATCTTATAATTTTTTATTTAAATTTAATTCTATCCTTTAATTTTTTTAATGACATTTCCCTAGTTTTAAATGTTCTTAAATTTACATTATTTTTTAATTAAATTACTAACAGCTATCAAAACATAAAACAAATTAAAATCATCGTCATTTATTTAAAATGTGCACTTGTAGTGTTTTAATTAAAAACTTGGTAAAAAATATGGACATTGAAAGATAAATACCTTTAAAATAGAAAAATGGCAGTTTATTTCTGCTAACGGTAAGTTCTCAAGGGATTTATTTACAATTAAATTTGTATGTGAATTAGTTTAGTATCCTTTTTGCAACTAATTTTATATGATTTACAAATTTGACATAAATATTTACAAGTTTAGTTTGATTCCATTAATAATTAAAATGATTTAGAAAATACAACTTTTCATTAGCAATTTTCTTCAATCAACAAGTTTAAATAATTTTATATGGTTCACAAGTTTGGTTCCAATAATAACTAAAATGATTTAAAATATCACAATTTTCTATCAACAAAGTCTAACTAATTTTATATTATTTACAAGTTCAATATAGATATTCACAAATTTAGTTCCACTAATGACTAAAACAATTTAAAAAATCACAACTTTATAAGTTGTAGAGGGGTACTAAAGTAATTTTATACAAAAAATTAATATCAAATAAACCTATCAAGACCTTACTTTCATTATTACATTTTATGAGATCAAATTTTTATTTTTCTATTTCAAAGAGATTTATCTATCATTCTTCCTAAAAAAATAATATTCCCTCTGTTCAAAAATGTACAATATTTTTAACTGAATTTTACTCTCAATAAAGTAGTTACTTATTTTTAAACTGACATTATATTTTTAATATTTACTCCTATGTAATAAGGTGTTTGACTCTAAAATAAATATAAAATAATGACACTTTTGAAAAAAAAAATGTAATCATTATACTTTAAAATATTAAAAATATCTTTTATTTTTTTAATATTCAACCTCTCATAAAATCTCTTATAATTTTAAATGGAAGGAATATATTATATGCGGTCCAAAGAGGGGGAAGGGGAGGGAGCTTTTTAATATAATGAATAATTGTATTTTATAAAAATATTTTTTGATACGGTATTAACTTCGGTAACACAATGTAAGTGATATATTAATGATTATTTCTAAAACAATTGAAGAAAAATAGTCTTCACTGACATTAATTAATATTAATATATCTATTAATATATCTATAAAAGATTACGAATCACCCTATTTACGAATTTTATGTTATTATATGCATTTGTTCTTGTAAATACAGTAAACATAAATTCTCCCTAGTTCACAATAGACCATCTAGTTCACAGTAAAAGCCCAGGATAATGGTGACTACTTTATGATTCTAAAAAATATTAATAAAATATGAATCTCTTAAAAAAATAATATCCTATCAGCTATACCCTCATAAAATTTGTTATATAGATATTTTAATAATAATAGTTGAAATTTCAACGCATCATCTTTTTACAAACAATAATAAAATCTAGTTAATCAACTATAATTTTGAATCAAACCAAAGTTTTATGAAATATTTTATATTATGGTATAAAAAGAGTATTATTTACAAAGTATCGCATTGTTTTGAAAGTTGATGGATGAAATGCTATCTCGGTTTCCAATATACTTGTATGTTGGATTTGATAAAACAGTGTCAAATTTTTTTTTAAAAAAAATAACTTTAACATAATCCGGATGGCCAGATACCGATCGACTTTTATTGACTGAGGCTCCTTTTTTTGTTTCTTTCATGCGTTACCAAAGATTGTTGACCAAAAAAATATATATTACCAAGAGCTCATACATATATGGGAAAACGGATTTTCTTCAGTAGCATGCAAGACAATATATGCTTTGTTCGAACAATTAGATGTGAATGAAAATTAGAGAATGGCAAAATGAAAAGACAAATTGGATGAAATCATGTGTTTTGTTTATCAAACGTGATTTTCTAGGAAGTGTTAAGTTTCAGCATCTCATGAAAATAGTATCGAACACCTCCCAGATTTAAAACGCTAAATACAAAAATTAAAAATAAACAAGCACGAAAACAATGGCGCTGCAACAAGGTGCTTTGCTTGTAACAACTAACAAGGGTGCTTTTGAAACTTGATATAGCCTGTTGGCCAAATAGAAATCTTGCTATATATGGCTATATGCAAAAAGCAAGAGTGTTCAAAATCGATTTAAATTGATTATATGAAATCAAACTGGACCAAACTAATGTGAACTGATAATAAACAAGGTCTAGTTTGATTTTTTTTTTGACAAAATTAATTGATTTGATTTGGTTTTTATTTAGATTCTTGTCACTTAAAATTTGAATCAAATTGAAATAAGCTTTATTATATCTATTTTATATGTTTTTATAAATTTGTCTAATTTTTTTCCCTTTCCCAAATTTAATCAAATATGTTATAATTAGTTAAACGTTGTCTATAATTTTTTATATAATTTTATAATCAAGTGTTTTAAGGATAACATATTAGCTTTTAAATAGTTAAATGTGCTAAATAATTGTTAAAAAATATTCTTTTGTTCTCAATAATTTTTTTTCATTGAAAATACTAATTAATAGTTAAAAATTAATAGTAAATATTTATATATTGATTATGAGAAATATCTCCAAAAAAATAGTTCAAACTTGATTCAAACCACTCAAACTGAACTAAACCAATTAAAGGAAAAATTCAAATAGATCCTGAGATTTAGTGAATGGATTGGTTTGGTTGGGTTTAATTTTTTTTTCCCTCAAAATTAAATCAAAATGAATTTATGAACATCCTTATAAAAGACTTTAATGTCATTTAATTTTCTCATAGTTCTTTTGGCTTATTTTTCCTTCATATTTTTAACAAACGTGACATTAATTGATGTTTTGTACTCATTCGTTCAGATTTATATGGCATTCTTTTTCAAAATATCATGTTAAAAAATTAAAAAAAAAAGGTATGTTGAGTCTTCTATTATGTGGTTGATAATATTTTTTCAAAAAATAATTAATTAAGGGTGTAATTAATAAAATTTTTTTATTAAAATACACTATTAAATAAGAGCAATCGTAAATAGAATGTGTAAAAATAGTAAACAAATTTATGGAATAATGTAATTGGATTAAAAGTGTCTTAAAATGTAATAATTTAATTACCTTGAACCTTGTAGGCGAACTTTGATTGTCTGCAACAATAACATGGTAATGCAAGAAGAAATGAGGGAAAATTTCAGTCTAAACCCTTTAACTACACATAATAAAAAAGATAATTCATTAAAGTTTGAAATTTTATTGCAAATCAATGGTAGTGAAATGAAATTAAAATTATCCCATTGTCCCTAGTGGCTTAAGCCTATGAAAGACACTTGCAAATTTCACATATTGAAATTATTCATTTCCCTTACTAAAGTGATTAATTTTCTTATCAAGGTTGTTTGTGCTCATAGTTTTACTTAATTTTATTCTTGATATTGTTATTATGATAAAAGATTAGTAAATTCTCCATACTAAAGTTTTTTTTTTTTGTATGAGAGTTGTTTATGTGCATATATTCACTTAATTTTATTCTTAGCATTGTTATCATATTAAAAATAGTTACAAATTTCTTATGCTAAAATTATTCATTTCTCATATCAAATTGATTAATTTTTTTATAGAAGTTGTTGGTATACTTAACTTCACTTATTTTTATTCAAATATTGTGCATTGTTATCAACTTATTGAAGTAAATAAAGTTGCAAATTCTTTAAGTTTTAAGGTTATTCATTTCTCATGTCAATGTGATAAATTTTTCTACTAAAATTATTTATACATAAAGTTAATTTTTTATTAGAGACAATAAGATAATTTTAATTTATATTTTAATTTTATTTTATTACACTTGGTTAGTAGTGAAATTTCAAAATTTAATGTGATTTTTTTTTTATTATGTTCAATCAAGAAGTCTAGATTGTGTTTTTTTTTTTTTTCAAAAAGAAGGGCTGCCCCACCCATCCACTTAAGTCAACGACAACATCACAACAACGATTATGGGTCTTGTAGGTCACATTTCCTTGAAAAATATTTTTATATACCTTATCAATTTTATA